CTCGGGTTCGTCACTGTCGTTACGACAGTGTCGTACTCTGCATTCTGCTCCAGGATTTCTGGATTTCTCTGAGAGCGCCGTTATGCTGGATGGCTTCCTCCGCACTGGGAGAAGCTTTATTAGTGCATTCACACACTGGGACCCGAGACAGCTGATAGTATCAGCCAGGCTGGTTGTATGCCGTAGTAATTTTTGGCATTATTTGCTAGTGGCATTACTGTGAGAGGGCGATTGGCCTATGGCCCACAATAAGATTTGAATCAGCTTGAATTGAATGGAATTGAATTGAATTGAATTGTGTTTATGGGAACAGAAGTCTCAGTTGTTGTGTTGTGTGTGTACTTTCGGTTCACCCGGTCCTCTTATGAAGACACGCCGCCAGTTCTTCACTAGCTCTCCGTCACCGTCGTAGCCTACGACTCGTATGCAAGGTACTCCAATATGTGCTGGTTTGGGTCTAGGTTCTCAGGAGTGCATCTTCGAGGCATGATGAGAGTCACAATAGCTAAGGCCGATCGAACAAAGATGATCAAATCATCGTGAGGTGATCAGGAACGAAGCCGGCATAAGAGAGTTCTACACATGAGCATTGCCATGAGCGCGCGCCCGATCGATCGACGTCGTCTTTCATACAAAACAAGTGAGTCAGGCACATATTCGTGGTCTTTTGGAGTCCACTAGTTACAACAACAACCTCAGAATCCATCAAGAAACTACAGGTTCATCGTTGTTCGGTGTTTATTTTACATAATTCCCGAAAATGCAGGTATTATTCCCCAAAATAATTCCTTAAGTCCCTTCCCCGGGAATATTCCCGGGAATAATAGGAATAATTCCCCACTTTCAGCCACCCTGCATGATTACAGTGTTGTCTTTTACGCTGAAGTCGAGAACCAGGAAGGCGGTATGCCAAGGCTTGTGCGTAAGGAATAGGCCGTACATATCCCAGTCTGAGCCGTGGACGAGCACGTAGTTGTGGAAGCTCAGAACGATGAAGATCAGGTTGATGCTTGAGATGAACATGAAGCCGATTCACTTGGAGTCTCCGATTCGAAGCACAACGATCTGCACGCGTGAAGTGGTCTTCATAGCCACGGTGCTCCACGGTGGAGCCTCTCCACCGATCATGGAGCGGCTCCACCGTGTAAGACACGGCGTGTTCCTTGTGTGAACTCGGTCCCGCTACCGAGAGTAACTTTGATGTGAAATGGATTTCGTGGAAGATGGGACCAGTGGGTCGCACACGACAATAATATATCGCATCACGCGATACACGGACCGCTCCCGAGCTGGACACGCCTGGTGTCAGCCGGTGTCACCAGGTTGCGGAGTCACTATCGCGGATAGTTATTGCACGCGAAATCCGATGGATTCGATTCATTCGTGTGTCTACCTAGCAATAGGGAGTGGAAGATGCGCAATAAGTTTTATGAAGAGATTGTGAATCCCATCAGTGAATGGTGAGAGGCTGTAGACTTTTGGGCATCATTAGCGATGGATGATTTCCAGCCAACGAAAGAGTGATGACTATATATCTGCGTATGATCCGGGGTCCTGAAAATTCGTGCCCGAATGCAAATTTTCCGCCTGTCTCCTGGTGAAGCGACGCAGAGATTCAATCTCTGAGATTGTGCATCATCACGTCAAAGTTTGACGGTCAAACCCCCGCTGCACGAGTCGTACAGCCTGTTGTACAGTACGACAGGCTCCCGTGATGGACGGTGAGTAACAACAGTTACTTATCGTGGAGTGACTGCATCTCGACGCGGGTAGTACCCGGGTAGGAATCCTAGGGCCGGATCGTAGGCTAGGATCAATCAAGAATGAAGATAAATGAGTCTTTTACGCAGCGTAAGGCGTACGCTTGAAGCATAAATTACGTTTTAACTCCCTTCCAGCGTACAGTGGAGAATGTTTAGTCTTGGAGAGTCTCCAATGGAGACTTTGGAACTCAACATCACGACATTATTGAGCATTAGATTAGAGTCTTACTTCAAGACAGATGGTAGAGAGTGGCTGAAGAGTAGAGGGGGTTGGTATACATCGCAGTGCTTGTCAGTTGAGGAAGATCCTCAGCCGGCAAGTGCTCAGTCACTATAAGTATCACCTAGGTGTTATTATAGTGCTCCTCTACTCGAGCAAAAAAAATATGTATATCACTTGATATAGTTGGTCTTAAGTATTATCCACAATAGCTTTACTAGCTTGAATTTGTGCGACTTATCGCACCACTCAGGCTCTTGTGTTCTCATTCAGTTCAGTGTGTGGCTTGTCGCCCATATTCTTGCCGCTTGGCTCGTTTAAACGCCCCTTCTGCTATGCAGAGCTCAACTTACTCTGCTCACGGGAGTCGCAATTTGATTACAAGATGAAACCTCTCGGTCGAACGGTAACGCCGCTGATCTTGGGAAATTCTCCATCGGCAACTCCACAGAAACATTGCCCCGAGAACTTCGCCTCAAATTGAGCTGATCAACCCAAGAAAGAGGAGGCTCCAATATAAGAGGAGACTGCTTGTGACGAAAAGTGTTCGTCGAACACTCGGTAGTTCACGGGAAATACAGAGCACATGTCGCGTGAAATAATATGCAGCTCATGATGTAGCCAGTCGATTCGACGGGAACAAACACTTCCGCCAAGGTTGGAGGAAAAAATTTTTTCGTAATTTTCGGAAAATGACGGGCGAATAAATATGTGGAGAAATAGAAAGCTTTTGTCAACTTACGATTCTCGACATGGGATTCCGTTGTTCTCCACAGAACCCTCCTGAGAATGGTCTGCGTGGGACCGTAAATTAGGGTGGCACGCGGAAGGAAAAATAGAAAAATTATTTCCTTCGGAAGGAAATTTGAAGTTTGAAGGAAAAATGAAGGAAAAATACGGAAAAATATGGAAAAATAAATTTTTCCGCTTGGCCTGCAAAGTTCGGCAGGCCAGAGCGTCACTGTTTTATTCGATCAGGCTGCTAGCAAATGATTTGCACTTACCAATCATGTTTCATAGCTTGATTAGATGTAACTGATCCAAAGCGTTACAAGATTTGTGAGATCTCCACACTGGAGATCCAGCCACTTTTGTACCAATCCATTTTTGAACCAATC